GGTAAGAGGAGAACGGGAGGCCGTAACGCCACCACCGCCAACACCTTCCTCATCGTCTTCTGACCTATCCGCATAGCTGAGGCTCTGACCGCAAGGCGAGGAGGAAGAAGCGGCAGAACAGGGCGAGGCTGGTTCTCGGTCCATACGAGGGGGATATTTAGATATGCGATTGAAACTGCAACGCGAAACGATAACAGGTGCACAGGTAGGTGTGTTGGTTCACGAGCTCTGCCGTCACAACGATAGCACAAGAAAACAGGAATTCTTTCTAGCTCTATCGTATGTTAATGCGAGTGTCACCAAAACAAACAAGTATGCACAAATGCTGTGGGGTTAAAAATACGATAGGTTGTTCTCTCTAAATTTGCTGGAGGCCCACGCGGTGAGTTGATAAAAACGCATAGCTGGGTTAAAAGATGTCTGCATATTTTTAGACAATGTATGAAACAGCGCGAAGTCTAGGTCTAGGATAATCGCCGAAGGCAAAATAGCAAAAAACGGAATGGCGCACTGACGGACGTTTACTCAGTTAAGAAAAAAGTAAAAAGATTAAAATAAGAGTGATTTGGAACAATAATTGAGACGGAGTGGAATGATTCCTCTGTGGCCACTATTCTGATGAAGTTGGCGCTAGTTGTTGAAAGTTAGAACCAATGAAAAGAAACAGCTAACGACGGCTTACCAGCCAACGCACAAGAGTAGACTCAATTGCCCGCGTTGCGAAGTTCTGGATGTTACTTATCTCAAGCACGATGGGAAAATATTGCAACCTGTCACCTTCAACTGTCCGATTCAACTGGAAGCCGACAAAAATGCAACTTACGTACCGAGGACATAAAAGATACTTTACAATTGTAAGGCTCTTAGCTCCGTAGGTCGAACTGCTAACGATGTCCCTACAGGAGTTTCCATATCGGTCACAAACGGACGTAAGTGGACAGTGTGCACAGTAAATGAAACACCAATGACTGCAAACTACAATCGGCTGCTAAAAAGGGGATGAAACATCACCAAGTATCGAAAAGGACTAATATATACCAAAAGGCAGTGTCGGAGGAAGACTTGACTAATGTAGCTATGGAACAAGCAGAAAATTAAAAAGCAAGGAATTGCAAAACGACAATTTTTGCTGCTAGTTAAGCCAAGTAAGCGATGTACGTGTGTTGGAGACACACGCTGCAGTTGTATATGGATGCGGTTGAATGGACGCTGCACAACGCGAAACTGAAGAGAATGTCCTGCCAGAAAATTACAACACAAGGAGATCTAGCATAGGCGACGCCAGTTAGGCTTGGCTGCGTAGGAATGACCAGGGTGGTAAAAAGTACCTACAAAACAAATACATTGACGCCCCCTAAAAAACGCGACAGTGAACCTGGTGGACACTTCTGCTTCACTCTGTTTCCGCTCCCATCTCTCATCTGTGGCTGTAAGAAACCAGGCTCAAGTCGGCAGCCACATGCCGGTATCCGCCACTGACCCAGGGAGGAGCTGAAACAGGTGAGGTAGTCTCTAACTAATTCCTCAAGCTCCCCCTCCCACACATATATACAAAGAAGAAGTCCTACAGAGAGAGTAAAATTAAATCCCGTAAACGACCCGGTCGTCTTTATGCTAAATAAAAGTCGTGGTAAATTTGGAACAAGTGGAAGCCTCTTCAGACTTAAGGAGTGTTCGGGTACACATTTGCAAATCTCAAAATCCATAACATTTGCAATCGCAATATCCCACGCTCCCGCATGATAATCCGAAGACTATAAAAATGTTGTTTTATCAATTCTTTCTGCGGACTTAAAGAGGCTTTGCGTAGACATAATAATAAAAGACACATAAACACCACTTAAGCAGCGATTTTGATGAAAATCATTGTGAAACAGACGATGGAGAGTCAATTTGTGAGATGACTGTCGGGACATTTAAATAACTATAAACCCAGTTCAGGTCAAGACTAAGGAGTTCCGGCAGTTCCCACCGTGTGCGTTGTGGAAGGCAGCGTCAAACGAGTTTCTGGTCTTAACATGACATATTTCAACATTCAAGTTTAGCACCGGATACGAACTATAGGGCGATTTTACAATAGATTGCCTTACTCATAAAATGGCAAGATCGAAATTTGAGGGGGTGGATTAACACACATCGGAGGTTATTTACTTTATTCATTGCACTGATTTGAGGTGCAAAATGCCTCTTTCAGATCAATGTGTAGAAAGAAAAATGGGTTAATTGGACCCATTTACACGTTTCTTGATATCCAAGGAATTTTTCTTCACTAGTAAACACTACTGATCAATACCTCTTGTTTATGGGTGCTGCACTGTACACTAAAATTAAGAGACAGAAGGACATTACCGATGAAAACAAGGGAGACTGGGGTGGCCATTTCTGGCGTATTAGCCGTCATCAGCTAGACCCAGACCCAAGTGTTATCACACCCGAGCCTCGCACTCACGACCTCTCTGATAAGAGTCAAACACCCTAACCGTTCAGTTACGGGCTCGTTGTCTTGTCAGTATTTGATCGGGGATATACAGTGGCAGGTACGCATACACCGATCTGTTAGAGGACACAATTGTGGTGTAGGTTCGAGTGTGAGCTCCAATGGCACCATGGACGAACAAGTGTGTCCTCTAACAAACCGGTATCTACCACTAAAGTTAATATAAAGCATAAATGTTTTAATCATATTTCTTCGGAGAACGGAAAATATTGTTTTGTGTTTATTTAAATCAGCCGAATGCAATATGATAAATCACATCGTTTTCGGAAATATCAGGGCTATTCAGTTAAAGAAAATTTGTTACGTTTTATGCCATTGATCACAGTAATAAATCTGTAAGGTTGCAGTTCCTTACCACACCCATAATGGGAACCGTGAACCAGCATATATATAGCGTTTTCATCCTCCACCAAAGAAGACGAAGAAGGTAGGACATGAGCCGAATTATATTGAGACTGACACTTCGGACACTCGCTTGTTTCCATCATCAGAGTAAAGTAGTGATTGTTCTTGTTTGTCGGGAGTGTTTCAGCCTAGCTGTTTGCCCGGTATTATATCCGTGCTCGACGCACGAACTTTGACCTGCTCGTTTGGGGAATGATGAAAACTATAAGATATCTGGACCTTAAATCTTAAAACACATTGCGCAAAAGATGCCCAAACAGTTTCTATCTGCAGCTGACTATGAATAAATGCAGAAACTTCCCACAGAAGGAGTGCTGTATGAGTCGTAAGCAAGTATTTTCGATATAAGTACGGTTACTCTTTGACGCATTATCAGTGACAGAACTGTGTCCAGAAATAAACAGGGCGGACCAAAACGGCCCACAAGTAAGCAAGACGATTTTGTTCCTCCTACAATGAAAAATATCACTACATGCCCATTGAGGATATTTGCAGGGAACATCTGCCGACGTTCTCTATGAAAATAATTAGGAAAAGGATGCAGAAATTTGAACTGTGCTAGGAAAATGCTAAAATCACACCATTCGTAGGTAAAGAAAGCTATTAGAAATTTTTTAATTGCTAGAAAGTACATTGATTATCGGCCCTCATTCTTGAAGAGCATTTACTTCTGCGATTAGGTCTTAAGGTAAGATAAGCCTGCGAAATTTACAAAATAACACATAACGCCGACAGCTACATTCAAGAATTGTTAATGATTGATAATATGGATCGTCTTTAAATTTGGAGCGAATAATTTAACGGTCGACTATTGGCACGATTAACAAAAAAGGTTTTCCTTGATATCCTAAAAGATGCCGTCGATTATAACGGAATCCATAGACGCAGAATGCACGCTATAAATATACCGGACCATACTCTAGTTCGTCGCTTTATAGACGTATGCATTTTATAACAAATACAGCCGTGATATAACTTTTTAGACAACAGCCAGACTCTCCGCATGTGGCTTCCAGTCTATTTTCATTCCTGCCAACTGTCAACAGCTCAATCTTATTGAAATTCTTTTGCATTTATCAAAAGAAAGTGGCACAGGGCAAAGAGGGATCTTTCCATGCAAGATTGGGTGGTTAAAGATAGATCAAGCAGAGACACACATAAGCTTATACGTACATCTGAATTTGAGTTTTAGTTACTATTTAATGTTATACCTCCTTCAACAAATGAAGATAGTGAAGTGTTGATTAACGGAGGTTTGCGGTTCGTGCGCTCAAAAAGCTCCCTCCAAAAAAATATCACAACTTTTAAGAGATTTCAGAGTCTACTGCTAGACGGAATACCGATTGTGTTCCTTCAAATAAAATGTCAGAGGCAGGAAACAGAAAACATAAATAAGCCGGGATGACATCAGGCCTCAAAGGGCGCAAAAAAGGCATACGCGCATCCGTTGACACAGAGATACGCAGAACACAAAAAGGAGGCACGAGAAAATACGAAATTGGATGCCAAACCAAGCGGAAGAACGCTGAGAGCATGTTGAGCACTTTGTTTATGCCCTGGGCGTGGTCGCCAAGGCTGACTAAGCGAGAGTTCATTTCACGTTCTATAAAGATTGCTGATGGGCGTAGCTGTGAAAGAAACCGGGCAGTAAGCGATTATTGTGAGTAAAGTCGCTGCAAAATAGAAATTTCTGTTTGGCATATTGTAAATTGTTAGTTGGCCCTAGAAGTTAGCATTTATTCAATTTTTTAATGGCGCTGCATTAGTGAGGTTCTTACGCTTATGGGGTTGTGGTCAGATGTGAAACCAAACCCCACGATAAATGACACTGGTGGTGACTCAGTCCAGAACGTAAGCCTTTCACGAATGAGGTCATTTGAGCAAGAGCTCTCCGGATACATTAAACCACAGTGGTGACCTCAAGACCCCTGTGACGTTCCTGCCTGAACTTGTGATTTGTGATTTTGTGATGAAAACTGAAACTGTATAAAAAGTGTTTCTGCGTACAAAACATTTAGGAGTTAACGGTGGATATCCCACTCAAACCGACAGAAGAGAGGAGCATGGTATCGCAAAAAGTTTAAAGCGACAGAAACGGACGTAAACACCACAAGAAACCTGAAAGCTGCTGACCGATGAATAGAAAGGTTGCAAGTGGGAAATGGCATTTAAACCTCAAAAACGGACTGATGACGATTCGCCTGGTGGTGCTCAAACGAATATTAGTTAAACGTGTCTTTGAAAAGACGTGAATATTACCAGGGCCGTCGATGCTTGGATAGAGACTTGGTAGCTATAGTTGCCACGGTGCAGTATAGGCCTGCGCTAGAACAATACATATGCATGTATGGGGACGTCAAATCGGGACATTTTAGGTAAGAGGGGAATACTAGGAGGACTGCAGTCACGAAATGGAATAGTTACGGATGGCACAATTCGAAGTATCTATAATCGACGGAGCACACATGAGTACTCACACGCTCGACAGACGGTGGATTACAACCGATGGTGACCAACAGTGCCTGGTTAAGAATTGGTAACTTAACAGTGATTTGAATTACAGCGACCACTTACCCCGCGCTACATTTGCATAAGCACCGTGCACTAAGGGTAAAAAGGGGTTTTAAACCATTGGGAGTGGAATGTGACGCAGCGTCTGATTCGACTTTCAACTTAACTTTTAGCGCGATATGGTCCTGTGTGTCGTTCAGCCGACAAAGGCCAGACATTATAAGGAAACGTGCACGATAACAGGATGCAAGCTCGGTGTTAATTTTGACGAAACGGCGCCATCCGTTTTGAGAGCTCAACACACCCACACACTGATGTGGAACAGTTCCTGGTATGAGACGATATCTTCCCCCATCTTACCACAACGGGTACATCCTGAGAGATAGATCGGTGTACAACCAAACACAGCAATGATATTTTTAATAGACGAAGTAAACGTAGGATTTAAACATTAGGATTATCACCTCCCCCTTACCCATACTCTGCTGGTATAAAGGCGGCCTTAGTTACGCACGTTTAGCAAGACGGCTGACTTACTAATCTTCCTCCGAAGACGAAACAGAGGAAGAGTCGGAGTCAGAGGAAGAGTCTACACGGGCACCAGAGGAGCTGTGATGACTGTTAAGATTACTGCTATGCCGGTTGTTCTGACATCGATCATGCCTTAATCGACCGTGTGCTTTTCCATCTTTATCGGCATCGTCCTCCTCCTCCTCCTCCTCCTCCTCCTCGCTGATTTGATTCAAACCGCTTCCTCCGTTGGCAGCTGCAGAGGAATCGGGTGGCAGATTGGAGGATTTGGGATTGCCGGAGTATCGAGTGGGCATTCGGTGTTTCCGCTGTCTGCTCAGAGCGACCCGTTG